CCATGAGAGAAACTGCTCACATGGAGATGATTAATGCCACACCATGTTTTAAATAGATACTTTCAACACTTGAGCTCACTGCAATAGCCACAGGAGGTGGCTATGAAATTATTCCTATAGTACAATATTACTAGTTAGTTTTATGCTGTTATGATGTAATACTGCCTTTATGTTTGTTAACATTTCTCTCCAATCATTGTCTCCCCCCACAACCACGCTTGACTAGCTTTAAAAAAAAAAAAAAAAAAACATTTCTCTCCACTGTGAATGGTACCATGTGTGGTCTATGTTTGCCTACTGTAAGTTTTGATAAATTTTAATATTTTGTAATAGATGTGTGTATATTTTATGGTAGTAAATGATAAGATAAACTATTATCTACATGTATTTTATGCACTCATGACATACCTTTTTCTTTTTTGTATATTTCTAGGCTATGCAGATCATCTGAGAGTTTTTTTGCAAAGCTCAAAAAAATTGCAAATCTCAAATTGTTGCAAAGGTCAAGAAAATTTCCCAATATATGTATTGAAAAAAAATCAGTATATAAGTGGACCAGTACATTTCAAACCTGTGTTGTTCAAGGACCAACTATAAATTTCTCTTACAAGAGTAACTTTTCTGAGCTTCTCCTAGGTCTGCAGTTTCTCAAAATAGCCAGCTTACAATAATAAATGTCAAAAAAGCATGTTTTGGGGTGGCATATTCTGGTCTCCTGTAGTCATCTTTTGGGGTGGTGTGTCCTTAGTTCCAACACACTCAAGAAGCCCTTAGTCTAATTGAAGAGAAAGACTAACAAGCAAATATGTAGTAAGAGGAAATGTACCAAAATGTAGTAAAAGCACACAGAAAGCAGAAAACTCTCAGGGCCATCACAGAAATGGAAAAGCAAGATTTGAAGGGTGAATGTGAGTCCACCAAGGAGACAAAAGGGCAAGGGCTTGATGGGGAGCCTTTTTCGTCTTGCAGTATGAAAAAATTAGGCGTTATGCTGAAAATTAAAGTGCAGTTGGGATCAGAGGCCCCTTTTATAGCACCTGGTACTTCAGCCCACTTGGAGCATTTATCACCACTTCTTAACCAAAAGGGAGACCAAATAGGAAGATTTCTTTCACAAAACCCAGTAAGAACTGTCAGCAGGAGGTGCTTTCCTTGCTAAATCCCCTTCACTTTAGCAAAGAATACTGGGTGGGGGTGGGGGACATTTTTCCCCCTGGAGGGTCAGTGCACCAGAAAAGCCCCAAAGGTCTGAAGCTGGGTTTCCTCTTACTGAGCAGTCTATTAGGCTCAGGTAGTTAAGGAACTAACAGCTTTGCTGTGCCAAGCTATAGAAGATGAATGAAACAGGCAGAAACCACAAAGAGGGGACCAGTTTGTGAACATAAGAAAACCACCCCTAGAGACTCCAGAATGACTCAGAAGGTCACTGAAAAGGCTATTGGTTGTGTAAATCTGGTGGGGTAAGGGACAAAGAGCACTGCATGGTTATTGCCACTGTGACCCAGTTTCTCCCCATAGGCAGGTGTGGCAGAGTGGGGTGGGGGAAGGACAAAGTTAACATGGACACCAATAGGGCTGCAAGGGGTTAGAGTTGGTATGTGCATACTTTCCAAGGGGTACAAGGCTGTGGATAGTTTCACAGGAATCAATGTCTAGATCTTCAATTTCCATTTCTGAGGTAAAATTGATGTACCTCAGAGGGGGTTTGTAGCCCTGATTTTTTTCCCCCCATCTCATTTTCCAATTTGCTCTCTTCTCACTTTACAAAAAAAAAAGGCCGGGCGTGGTGGCTCACGCCTGTAATCCTAGCACTCTGGGAGGCCGAGGCGGGCGGATTGCTCGAGGTCAGGAGTTCAAAACCAGCCTGAGCAAGACCCCGTCTCTACTAAAAATAGAAAGAAATTAATTGACCAACTAAAAATATATATAAAAAAATTAGCCGGGCATGGTGGCGCATGCCTGTAGTCCCAGCTACTAGGGAGGCTGAGGCAGTAGGATCGCTGAGCCCAGGAGTTTGAGGTTGCTGTGAGCTAGGCTGACGCCACGGCACTCACTCTAGCCTGGGCAAGAAAGTGAGACTCTGTCTCAAAAAAAAAAAAAAAAAAAAAAAGTTTACTTCTTATCTTTTCCTAATCCTACTAAATGATGCATTGTGATAACCCAATCCTTCTAACTGATATACTGCTCTGGTTTGTAAAAACCTTTGGAGACATCAAAGGAACAATCCCACAGTTATTTTAGTCAAGAAATCATAAACACCACCCACTTCTTCCATCTCCTTAAGAGTCAAATTTCCAATAAAATTTCACTACTTAAGCAAACATTAATGTTTACTAATTATAAAAATGTATATCTGTTGTTGGCCAGGCTCAGTGGCTCACACCTATAATCCCAGCACTCTGGGAGGCTGAGGTAAGAGGATCACTTGAGCTCAGGAGCTGAGACCAGCCTGAGCAAGAGTGAGATCCCTGTCTCCACTGAAAACAGAAAAAATTAGCTAGGCATGGTGATGCGTGCCTGTAGTCTCAGCTACTTGGGAGGCTGAGGCACAAGGATCACTTGAGCCCGGGAGTTTGAGGTTGCTGTGAGCTAGGCTCATAGTACTCTAGCCCGGGTGACAGAGTAAGACTGTCTCAAAAAAAAAAAGAAAATGTATATCTGTTGTTTTTATGAATACTACTAATAACAGTAATATTTTTAAAACAATTACAGACTTATGGTCACTGGAAACTTTTTTTTTTTTTGAGACAGAGTCTCACTTTGTTGCCCAGGCTAGAGTGAGTGCCGTGGCATCAGCCTAGCTCACAGCAACCTCAAACTCCTGGGCTCAAGCAATCCTCCCACCTCAGCCTCCCGAGTAGATGGGACTACAGAAATGCGCCACCATACCCGGCTAATTTTTTCTATATATGTTAGTTGGCCAATTAATTTCATTCTATTTATAGTAGAGAAGGGGTCTCGCTCTTGCTCAGGCTGGTTTCCAACTCCTGACCTTGAGCAATCCACCCACCTCAGCCTGTCACTGGAAAATTTTGAAAAATCTATTTCAATATATGTATTCTTGTTATAGAAAAGTATGCATAATAGGATAATCAATAAAAAGCTTTCATCACTGGAGTTGTAACAGTTAAAAGAAAAATTAAAATAAAAAAATAAAAAAGCTTTCAATCACAAAATTATATCTGGATAAGATTATATAGAAGTAGAATCAAAATATGATTTCAAAGAAAAAATTGAACAACGTAAAATTTCTAATGTAAAGAGTGTAGTCATAGCCTGCACAGTGGCTCATGCCTGTAATCCTAGCTCTCGGAGGCCGAGGTGGGTGGATCATTTGAGCTCAGTAGTTCGAGACCAGCCTGAGCAAGAGTGAGACCCTGTCTCTACTAAAAATAGAAAGAAACTAGCTGAACAACTAAGACTATATAGAAAAAAGTCTGGGCACAGTGGCTCACACCTGTAATCCTAGCACTCTGTGAGGCTGAAGTGGATCATTTGAGCTCAGGAGTTCGAGACCAGCCTGAGCAAGAGCAAGGCGCCGTCTCTACCAAAAATAGAAAGAAGTTAATTGGACAGCTAAAAACATACAGAAAAAATTAGCCAGGCATGGTGGTACATGCCTGTAGTCCCAGCTACTCGGGAGGCTGAGGCAGTAGGATTGCTTGAGCCGAGTTTGAGGTTGCTGTTAGCGAGGCTGACACCATGGCACTCTAGCCCAGGCAACAAGAGTGAGACTCTGTCTCAAAATAAATAAATAAATAAAAATATATAGGAAAAAAAATTAGCTGGGCATGGTGGTGTGTGCCTGTAGTTCCAGCTACTCGGGAGGCTGAGGCAATAGTATTGTTTGAGCGCAGAAGTTGGAGGTTGCTGTGAGCTAGGCTGACACCATGGCACTCTAGCTTGGGCAACAGAATGAAACTGTGTCTCAAACAAACAAACAAAAAAAGACTATAGTCATGAATTTTCTAAATCAATGATAGTAACATCAAATTATTATGATATTTACATTCCTTTAAAACTGATTTTATAGTTTATTATATTAATATTCACAAAAAGCCAATAATTATATTTTACTACTCTAAACTTATGAAAAATGTTGGATGTCAACTTTAAAATGTACAAGGAGATACATGGTTTTTCAAAACTCTTGCAAAATACAAGAGCAAAAACATTTATAAAACTATGGCTCTAGGCCAATGAAACCTGTAACAGCCAAGACTTGCCTTTCCCACTCAGCACCATTCCATGACTCCAGGGCAGAGCCAGAATGGTCTTCAGCTTCCTCTTCAACCACTTTTATCCCTATTCCCAGCAACCAGCACAGGTGACTCACCTGGAGTCACACAGCCTCAGGTGGTTGTCTGATTCAGTCATGAACACAAATACCTGGGCACTCTTGGGCAAAGTACTTAACCTCTCTGTGCCTCAGTTTTCTAATATATTAAATGAGAACAATGTTTTATAAATTAAAATATTCTTCTTTTTCTACTACTGCTTGTTTGTTTGTTTGTTTGTTTGTGATAAGGTCTCACTCTATCACCCCAAATAAAGTGAAGTGGAGTGATCATACCTCACTTGCAACCTGAAGCTCTTGGGCTCAAGCAATCCTCCTGCCTCAGGCTTCCTACAAGCTGGGACTATCGGAGTGAGCCACCACACTCAGCTAATTTTTCTATTTTTTTGTATAGACAGGATCTCACTCTTGCTCAAGCTGGTCTTGAACTCCTCAGTCTTAAGTAATCCTCCTGCCTCAGCCTCCCTAATGACTAGGGTTATGGGTGTGACCCACTGCACCCAGCCTCTACTACTACTTTTTAATTTATGTAAATTGTCTTAAAAAGTGCTTAGCAATGGAAGCTACTATTGTGTGCCTGAGTGCCCATTTAATACAAAAGGAAGAATGAGAAACAGAGAGGTCAAGCTGGATGTCAAAGGTCATTTGACTGGTCATTTGCTAAAGATGGGAACCCTGGAATACAGGCATTTAGGCCACTTACCTTTAGATTTCCAGGCAGGGATTCAGAGTTTGTCCAAGAATCTGGAGGGATGGATTGCAATATCTTTTTCTTCACAGGCCTTAAGAACAGTCCATTCTTTCAGGGGTTTCCACTGAGCACTGTCCAGAAGCATCCGGAGCTCCAGAGCCAGAGTAGATGGCCTAGGCCTATACAATAAGACATCAGTCCCCAACCTTTTTGGCACCAGGGACTGGTTTCATTGAAGACAATTTTTCTACGGGGTATGGAGGTGGGGAGGCGGATGCGGTGATGCCAGCGATGGGGAACAGCTGAAAATACAGACAAAGCTTTGCCGGTGCTCGCCTGCTGCTCACCTCCTGGTTCTGAAGTTTCATGGAAGACAATTTTTCCACAGATGAGGTTGGTGGGGCGGTGATGTGTGCAGGGTTCCTAACAGGCTGCTGACCCAGTACCGGGCTACGGCCTGGGGGTTTGGGACTGCAGAACTAAGGTATTATTATACCTCCTTGTCCCAAGGCTGGGCTCCCCCAAAACAAATATGGCAGGTATCTGCTCAAATCTCCTATCACTTCTCGTTTGTTTGTTAAATCCTAAAAAATCTTAGTTTTTAAGAATCTGATAACCAGAAGGGACTTTAGAAATAAGATTGTACTTGCTTTGAGGACCAGACCCTTTCCATTAGTCATTCTTCATCAGGGTGTCAAAAAAACAGCTCTATCTCCCTCTGGTTAGATCTCCCTGGCTGGCTTTGTCGCCCTGAAACAAAAGCCAGTGATTAGGGTGGGAGGAGAGAAGTGGGAAATAGGAGGCACTTCTGAATCTACTATTATAGTAATTCTCAAACTTTTAAATCTTAGGTTCTGGCCGGGTGAGGTGGCTCACGCCTGTAATCCTAGCACTCTGGGAGGCTGAGGCAGGCGGATTGCTCAAGGTCAGGAGTTCGAAACCAGCCCGAGCAAGAGCGAAACCCCGTCTCTACTATAAATAGAAAGAAATTAAGTGGCCAACTAATATATATAGAAAAAATTAGCCAGGCATGGTGGCACATGCCTGTAGTCTCAGCTACTCGGGAGGCTGAGGCAGGAGGATTGCTTGAGCCCCAGAGTTTGAGATTGCTGTGAGCTAGGCTGACGCCACGGCACTCACTCTAGCCTGGACAACAAAGCGAGACTCTGTCTCTAAATAAATAAATAAATATTATGTTCCCTTTGATTTAAAATAATAATAATAAAGTTTTATACTTTCCTTTAATATGAAATGAAATAATGGTTTGGATTAGAATAGATGTTTTCAATTTATACAGGGATCTATCCCCCTAGAAAGACTTGGGCTCCTGCAGAGAATCAGGGCTGCAGACTTTATCTACACTCTAGCTACCCCTTTTTATCAACTCCTCCCACATACTTAGACTCTACATTCCAGACACACAGTTGGCTGCAAGAGTGTGGAGGATACCTGCAAAAATGAGCAGAAAGAGGTGTGACTCCAACACCCAGTAGTAATTAGGCCTGGGGCCTGCATATTTGTGTGGGTGCTCAGGGATGGGGGTGGGGAGGAGTAGGGTAGGGGCTGGATGAGCATAAAAACTATACATAATCAGAGGAGGAACAGGGAGGGGGTGGGGCTGGAGGGAACAGCTCCAAGAAAATGCAATGTTCCTTCCAACTCAGAGAAATAAAGGCAATCGACAGGTCAGAGATTTAAGGCCCAGAAAGGTCAGGCCAAACTGATCAATTCTCTTAAAGGAATTTCTGCTTTTTCTATTTCTATTTTTTACCTTTTTGGTGCTCTTTTCTCAGTTCTTCCTGTTCTGTAGTTTTGCTTCCTGTTTTGAACCATTCTAATTTCTCTATCTTCAATTCTGCCCAGTCCTTCTATTTTAGGTGGTTATATTGCAGTCCTGCCAAATTCACATGGTTTAAGATGAGAGAGGCCTCATTTATCATCTAGTCCAATGTCTTTTAAATTTTTTGACTGACACACAGAAACAAGTGCATTTTACACTATGCCCCAGTATCTGCATATATAAAGTATAACCAACACCAAGTTTCATGAAACAATCCTTACCTTACTACAAATTATACACTCTGATTTCAATTTCAAAATACCAGTTGCAACCCAGTAAATCGATGACACAACCTACTAATGGATCACAATTTACATTTTTAAGTACAGACTCATTTTATGGATGAACGAACTGAAACAAAGGAAATGCACCTGAGTTACTATCAAAGTCAAAATCAAAGGTAGAACTCTCAACTTTTCTTTTGTGGAGCTAAACTGAATGCAGAACAAAGGCTTTGGGACTGGAAGATTTTTAAAATATGTTATTTTGGTGTCTGTTTTTGTGTAGACTCTTGGCCATTCTTTGTTTTTGTTTTTTGAGACAGAGTCTCACTCTGTTGCCCAGGCTAGAGTGCCATGGCGTCAGCCTAGCTCACAGCAACCTCAAAGTCCTGGGCTCAAGTGATCCTCCTGCGTCAGCCTCCCAAGTAACTGTGATTACAGGCATGCCCAGCTAATTTTTTCTATATATTTTAGTTGGCCAATTAATTTCTTTCTATTTTTAGTAGAGGTGGAGTCTTGCTCTTGCTCAGGCTGGTCTGGAACTCCTAGCTCAAACGATCCTCCCACCTCAGCCTATCAGCCTGCTAGGATTACAGGCATGAGCCACCGCACCCAGCCTCTCGGCCATTCTTGATGAATTGGAAATTCAACATACATTCTTCATTCAACATACATTCAACATACATTCAAATACAATATACATCCTTCCTTCCTTCCTTCCTTCCTTCCTTCCTTCCTTCCTTCCTTCCTTCCTTCCTTCCTTCCTTCCCTCCCTCTCTTTTCTTTCTTTTTTTTAATGTACAGAAACCTCCACTGGTGCTCCTGCCAGGTGACTGAGGGAAAAACTGTCCTGTCCTTAAGCAGATCATGGTAGAGAGGTAAGGATAGAGGGAGTAGTGGAGTTGAGAGTTTAAGATAGGATTTCCTCCCCCACCTCCATCCCTGCCTCCCCTCCTTCTTTCCATGAGCAAACTGGTATGAAATACTTATTATATACCAGATTCTGTGCTAGTTTATATGGATGGGGTAAAAAAAAAATCTCTTGAGATACATATGCTCTGTAATCAGTCCATTACAATGCTACACAAGAGGTTAAGGCAGTGTGAGAAAGTTTTAAGCCTGCACCTAACCCAGATTGGTGAGGAAAGAGGTGATGGACAGGCTTCCCTGAAGAGAGGATGGCTGAGCTGACTGTAACCAAGTGAGGAAGAGGAGGATGTCTCAGGCAGAGCCCCTGCCTATGTGGGTCTTGCTGTTTCACTGGGTTGGTACAACAAGCTCCTGACCAAATTTAGCAAAACTGCCAGATATTCACTTATTTTCAACTTCTGTCTCTGGAATATGCTTCAAGTGAAGACAGGTATTTGTCCTCCCCCACCTGGCCAAACCAGTTTCCCACAGGAGAGCCCTCCAGGTGGGGCAAAGAAGACAGCCAGTACACACCTACCTTGTTTATTCTTTGAATTTTGAAATTGGTTATAATGAAGGTGGGTTGTTTTATTTTATCTTATTCTTTTTACAATTACAGGACTCAGAAACCCAGAAAGAATATTCACTGGGCCCAATGGGTAGCTCACAACTGTAATCCTGTTACAGCAAGTGTTAACGGCGGGTGGTCCCGAGGACAAACCGAGTGGCACATGGACAGTCGGAGAATCAAAGTTTGTTGAAATAAAGTCACTTAGTACATTTTGGTGATCTTTATGGTGACAATAATTACTTCCCAATTTAAAACTGATCAAGATGATATTAGAAAAGCCAAATGAAAAATTCTGATAATTTGTTGGCTTTGTTAACATTCTATCTTCCCTAAGGATCAGCAAATTCATTAAGGTCATGCTCTTTTGATTGGCTGATACTTTGTCTCAACTAAAAACATCTGAGGTCTTTCTGGTTCATTTCGTAAGACAGTGAATTATGCAAGTCGTGTAATTCTGAGGTTTTGAGGTCTTTTTCCTTTTTCTTTCTTTCTTTTATTTTTTTTTGTGACAGAGTCTGGCTCTGTCACCTAGGTTAGTGTATGGTGGCATCAGCCTAGCTCACAGCAACCTCAAATTCCTGGGCTCAAGCCATTTTCCTGCCTCAGTCTCCCAAGTAGCTGGGACTACAGGCAAGCGCCACCATGCCTGGCTAATTTTTCTATTTTTTTAGTAGAGACGAGGTCTTGCTTTTGCTCAGGCTGGTCTCAAACTCAAGACTTCAAGCAATCCTTCTGCCTCGGCCACCCAAGTAGCTGGGACTACAGGCACATGCCACAACACCCAGCTAATTTTTCTGTTTTTAATGGGGGGGCATCTCACTCTTGCTCAGGCTGGTCTCTGGTCTCGAACTCCTGAACTCAAGCAATCCTTCCACCTCAGCCTCCCAGAGTGCTAGGATTACAGCCCTGAGCCGCCAAGCCCAGCCCTGAGGTCTCTTAAATCAATACAAAATGGTAGCGTTCAGACAGAATAGGAGACTTTTATTCAATGGCTACTAATGCCAGGAATGTTGTTTTAGATATTCTATGTCATAGTTATTTTTTTTATTGTTCTATATGGGATAGGATATGCAAAGAAACCCCAAAACATTCCTGGTATTAATAGGCATATTCAAGACACTCAAGCACTCTAATAGATAAGGTTAGAGTTGAGATTTCTAATGTGGGTCCTGAACGCCCAGGGCCAATACCCTGGAGGCTCCTTGGGGGTGTTAATGAAGGTGTGAGAGCTATTTTTTCCATTTCAAAGAAGCCTAACAGAAATTGTCAATTCTTTTTAGGCTACTCAAATTGCTTTGCTTTTGTCTGGAGCCCTATTGACTCAGTGTGGTAGGCCTGGTTGTCTTAAAAGAAAACAGATTAATTAATTAATGATATTTGTCTGGCAGGCTGAAATCTTTCGAAACATTGAGATCCACCCCCCCTCCCCCTCAGAGCTACTTAGTGGTGAAAAGGTTAGGGATTTGGAATTTAATCTCTGGGCACAAAGGTTTAAACCAAAGGGATAAACCCTTTTTATTTTTTTGCTAATACATACATATATCTCTTTTTTAGTTGTCCAGCTAATTTCTATTATTTTATTTTAGTTTTTGAGACAAAGTCTCACTTTGTTGCCCGGGCTAGAGTGCCGTGGCATCAGCCTAGCTCACAAGAAACCTCAATCTCCTGGGCTCAAGCAATCCTCCTGCCTCAGCCTCCCCAGTAGCTGGGACTACAGTAGGCACCTGCCACCCATGCCAGGCTGATTTTTTGTATATGTATTTTTAGTTGGTCAATTAATTACTTTCTGTTTTTGTTTTTGTTTTTTTTTTTTTTGAGACAGAGTCTCACTTTGTTGCCCAGGCTAGAGTGAGTGCTGTGGCATCAGCCTAGTTCACAGCAACCTCAAACTCCTGGGCTCAAGCAATCCTACTGCCTCGGCTTCCCAAGTAGCTGGGACTACAGACATATGCCACCATGCCTGGTTAATTTTTTCTATATTAGTTGGCCAATTAATTTCTTTCTATTTATAGTAGAGACGGGGTCTCACTCTTGCTCAGGCTGGTTTTGAACTCCTGATCTCAAGCAATCCACCTGCCTCGGCCTCCCAGAGTGCTAGGATTACAGGCAGGCATGAGCCACCTGCCCGGCCAATTTCTTTCTATTTTTAGTAGAGATGGGGTCTCACTCAGGCCGGTTTCCAACACTTGACCTTGATTGATCCACCTACCCTGGCCTCCCAGAGTGCTAGGATTACAGGTGTGAGCCACCATGCCAACCAGGATAAACCCTTTAAATACATAAACATTCCATCCCACAACAGTGCTATTTTGTTTCAGGAAAAGAGTATGGATGAATTGAAGTATTAAAGATGTATTGACTCTGATATCTAGCTTCTTAATGTAGAACCAGTAGTCTTCAGTGGTTAAAATAATGGACTTTTGACAGCAAGGAGACACAGTTCAAATCTGGACTCTGTCACTTGCTATGAACCATTAACCAAATTATTGAACTTCTCTGAGCATCAGTTTTCTCATCTGTAAAATAATAGAAACTACCCCATAGGATTGCAGACTGGATGCCATGAAATAATGCATTTGAACCCTTTTTTTTTTTTTTTGGCATACAATAATTTGGCATACAACAATACAAAAAGATGTTTGGCATACAATAATTGTTCAGCAAATGTCATAAAATGTTTTTTGTAGGACCAGAACCTGAATGTGTCTTACACTATGACACAGGCATATGTCCTCATCCCTTACCTGCCACTACCAATGAATTCTCCTTTTTTTTCCTCCTCTGAATTAAATTGAATGTTAAATGATGTTGAAAATGCCTGAAACAAAAGCAGAGGGAAAGTGTAGACTGGGTCCAAAGGTCACTTATCAGTCTATTCATCCTGAGTAAGGCTCACTGCTAGGCTGACCACAGCCAGAGCATTTGAGCTTTTGACACAAAGGGAGGGAAGCTGAACAGAACAAGTAAATGCCCTGTTCTCGGGAAGCTCACCCTCTAATGGGGAGCCATGACTAATGCTTGGAAAAGAAAGGAGACCCAAGAAAACATATTTAAATATAAATATCGAGTATATAAGTGTGAGGAGGGAAGTCCTCCCTTGAATAGGATTGGCTGCAGAGATTTGTTTTTGATCACTGACTGGTCAAGGAAGACTTTGTGATACTCTGCCATCACTCTCCTTGAAGCACCTGGGTCTTTTATCCCTCCAATCTGTTCCCACCACCACTACAGTTGCCATATTAATTGCTCTGAAGCACTACTTTATTTTTTTTATTATTCTTTTTTTATTTTTTAATTCGTGCCCCAAATGCATTCACATGAAGCACTACTTTAAACATGTCACTCCTTGACTA